AAAACCATGGCCTCTATTGATCCAGGAATTAATTTAACCCTACCAAAGCCATTACTTCCTGAAGCCATGTTACCATGCCACTGCACCAAAGAAAACTTCCCTCTAGTTCCAAGTTCCACATTCAGGAAAGATGGAGCTTTTTCAGATGTGGCAAAATTGGAGAATGGAAGGAATGAAAATAAGAAGACAGGAGCAAGCTGTATTTATATTTGTCTTGGCCTTCACATTACTCAAACTAGAGAGAAAGCAAGACAAATAGTAAAGAACTTGTCATCTATGCTGAGATACACCTGGCTAGAGGTGCCAGCTCTCTCAGTTGGAGGAGTTACAAGGATTTCACAGAACATTAACAAAGCACAAAATACCAATCTCCCCCCTGCAGGGCTTACTGCACATGTTCCTTTTCTCTCACTGAAGTCTTTGGCTACTTCTCTTTCCATCCACATTTACTAATTATTTCTGTTTTCTGTTTAACCTTTTCAACCCTTCAGTATTCCTTATTTTTATCTATTTAATAATAAAACAATATTGATGTAAGACAGATGAGACATAAGCAATACACAAGAAAACTTAGATGAAATGAATAAATTCCTAGAAAGACATTGGTACTAAAACTGACCCAAGAAGAAATAGAAAATCTGAATAGACTTATAACAAGCAGAGAGAGAGAAAATTAGTGATTCAAAAGCTATCTGCAAAGAAAAGTTCAAGATTAGAAGGCTCCACTTGTGAATTCTTTCAACTCCTTAAAAAAGGACTAACATGAATTCTTTATAAACTCTTCATAAAACATAAATAGAACAAATACTTCTCAACTCACTGTATAAGGCCAGTATTACCCCCTGATACCAACACCAGACAACGACTTTACAAGGAAAGGAAACTACAGACAATATCTCTCAAGAATATGAATGCAAAACTCCTCAATAAAATACTAGCAGATGGAATCCAGCAACATACAAAAATGATTATATATCATATAAGCAGGTGAGATTTATCCCAGAAATGCAAAAAATATGAGACAAATAAGAAAAGTAATGAACAATCAGACTCTCAGGAAAATTCTGATATGCAGGCCAGACGGAAGCACACCTTGGGTCTTATGGCGTGTGCTAACTTACTCAGTTTGGGGTCTATTGAACAGGATGGGGTAGGAGAAGTTAGAATAGCCTAGGGTCACAATTTGCCCTCTTCTAGGAGGACCAGGGGGGCTCTCTCCTGTGTAGGGACAGAGATATCCTCCTGACATATTGACTGAGCTGCAAAGAAGAGTCACAGGTGGCTCGGAGCTGGAAGACGCTTTACACACGAGCTAACCTCAGCTCCTCTTTTGCAGAAGGACACTGAGGACCAGAGAGGCAGAGTGACTTGCTATTTGTAAGGGAGCTCCTGGTAGGAGCCTGGCTCCCATCTCTGGCTCTCACCCTCACTCCAATCATGTCCATTGTTGTCCAGTTGTTCAGAGAGAATATAATTGCTCTGGCTGATCTTGCCACACACAGACATCAGAGAGATGATAGTAAATAACACTTATATAGAACTTATCCTGTGCTAGGCAAAGCTTGAAGTGCTATACTTGTGTTAACTCACTTATTTCTCATGGAAACCCTACCAGGTAAGTATGTCAATGTTCCCATTTTATGGATGAAAACACTGAGGCAGAGAGAGGTTAAAAACTTGTCAAGGTCACTCATCTAGGAAGTGGCGGCAGTCTGGTTTATGTACTATTAGTTCCTGTCCCTTTTTTCCTTTTCAGGAGACAGCTAAGGAAGGCAGCTTAGAGCAGACTGCTGGCTGATTCTACAGTGCCCACCATGTGGAACATATGTCTCTGTACAGCTTTTGTCACTGGCTGGGACATTCAGGGTTAGGGACCTGATTCTACAGTGCTGTGCCATTACTGAATCTGGAGCAGTGCTCATAGGTGTCTGAATCCCAGGATTTTCAGATTTCTGAAAGTTTTGTCTCTGACAAGGAAAAGGTAGACCATGGCACTCACTGACAGAAGGCTTCTTTATTTTGGGTCTATAGGCTTTAGGGACAGAGCCTGATCCTGACATTATGTGCAAAATGATGTGTGTCAGAGTTCACAGGGGAGGAGATTTCATTAGGACAGAAATGTCGCTGTGCGGCATGGCTCCTGTGATGGACCTGGTTCTGCTTGTTCTTTTCTATCCACGGAACTTTCCATGGCTTTTCCTAGAAGCTCCTCAGGGAGACCTGAGCAGAGTGGTTGAAGCTCCTGTCTTCTGGATGTGCGGGTGTTGAGGAGGCTGTGCACCTATACTCAGGTGTGCAAGCGTGGGGCACAGTCTGAGTGCACCGTCAGTCTGAGTGGGTGTTCAGGGCCACAGGCTCTCCTTCAGGCCCCATCACAACTCACAACACTGGGTCAGCTCTAATGAGGCTCCAGGTCAGGGTCCAGGTCAGTTCTCCAGCCTCCCTCCCTTTTCTGCTGGCACTCTGCAGGTGTGAACATCACACACAGCTCTCTCCCTAGTGACCCACATCTATTCTCATCTCCAGATGCAGTGGGGAATGGAGGGCAGGGAGTGTGAGTCTTCATGCTCTTGGCCTCATGCTTCCTGGAGCAGCACCCATACATCTCGGTGAGCAGACGCCTTAAAACAGACCTGTAGGGCCAGGGATTTAGCTCAGTGGTTCTGTTGCCTGCCTCACAAGCACAAGGACCCGAGTTCAATCCCTGCTACCCAAAACAAACAAACAAAAACAAACAAACAAAAAACCCCAGACCTGTACCCTGAATGGAGCTTCAGGAGGTTGGCAGCTGCAGCTGGTTCACTATCACAAGCTGCCTCTTTGCCTTCACAGGGGCCTCTTTACAGTGTGATGGTATCCAAGTCCTGGGCCATCATGGTTACTGGCTGCTTGGGTGGTGGCTTTCCCATTGGGATAGCAACTTCACCCTAACCATTTCTGTCATGCCAGCACACTCAGTGGCCTGCCCTTCACCAGAGTCACCATGCAGCTCTGGACTGCAGTGGTGCAGCAGTGAGTTTGGTGAATCTGGCTATCATAGAGGCACACAGTAGGCGATCAATCAGTTTGTTGAGTTAGTGAATTATGTCTCATCCCATCTTGACCTGAAGTAGCTTGCTGGTGACAGCATCTTCAAAGTGGCCTTTGCTTATTTTTCAAATGTACAGAACATGCAGAACATGTATGAGATTAGTGCCAGGTGAGTTGTAGAGTGAGACTAACAAGTCCATTGGTGTTGACAAAGCCTGTTGCCAAGAGTGGTCTCTTCCAATGAAGGTTCCTAATGCTTCCTTCAGTATCTGTTAACATGTTGTCTCCTGGCTGTCTACCCCTTGAGGGTGTGTGGGAGGGCGCTGTTCCTTGTTAACCTCATGGCACAGGGCTCTAGTCTAGTCCTCAGCACATAGCAGGAAGCTGGCAGAGCTGCTGGACCAATGGGAGGTGGCATGTGTGCAAACATATGCCCGAGTTAGAGATGTGATCGAGGTATTCCCTGGTCAGTATTTGGGGAACTGTTGGTCCAGGGTCTTCCTTGTGCACCTGCAGATGGCTGAGGCAGGCTTCTGAGCATGAGTGTCTATAATTCTCGTGCACTTGTAGGAGTACAGTGTATGAAGTCAGAGTCATCAGACTTTAGTTTTCAATTAGTGGCTGTGTTCCCTTGGGTAGGTGATCAAGGTCCCCCAGCTTGAAAAAGAGTAGGCAACAATGTCCCATGTTGGTTAGGATTAAATGGGATATGGATCATCAAGCACCTTGAACGTAGTTGGTGTTCAATAAATATCATTCCCTTTCCTGTGAGCCTGTCTCTCACTCTCATTTTCTCCCTGTAAAACTATGGGCCCAGTGACCTTCAGGTCACTTGTGTGGGCATATGTGTACAGAACAAGCAGTTCCCTGGTCACTCACGGAAGGGAGTGGCAAGAACTGTGATGTATATGTACTTGCTTTTAAAGGAGATTTATTATTAGCAAAGTGAAATGAAGCAACACAAGACATAAGCACTAGCAGCAAATGAGCCCAGCATCCTTTTGCTGGGGGCTGGAGCCTCAAGGGTGATGAGGAATGAAAGTGTTTCCTCAGCTCCTGCTCTTAGAGTCAGTCTGGAGGCTGCCGACCTTCGCCTGGCAGTTCTCTTTTGCAAAATCAAAGTGCACCAGGGAGCTGCCACCCACAGTCTACTCCAAGTCAATTCCTTGATCTACACTGCATGGAAACTGCATGGCTGATTCAGGTCTACAAACATCAGTACTAGGGGTTGGGGGCACAGGACTGGCTCCTTTGCAGGAACATGGAATTTCTTTACAAAATAATGAGAGCCACTGCCTTCCAGACATCCAAGGAACTTAAGGCACTGAGAGTCAGGGCCCAGGATGCTGTGATTGCAGGTATTCCTGGAGAGAGTCTTGGCCTTTACCCCACCTCCCTTACAAACCAGAAGCAAATCCCATTCTCGCTGCAGTATGTACATACTGTGTGCGCACAAAGGCACTTTTTGCCGTGAATGAGCACATGGTCAGGTTATTCACACTAAGAGGTCTAAGATTTGGGCTGAAAGTAGGCCAATCTGTAAGGCAGTACTATGCACTGTACACTTACCAAAGTGTGTGTGTGTGGGGTCAGTACCAATCAGTACTGAGGATGGGGGCCACAGATGGCACAGGAAACAGAGTATCAGGCAAGCCTGGCCCCGGAGGGACAGATGAGTCCTGTCCCTCAATGAAACCCTGATTCCCACCAGTGTGCCACATGCTGTGGGGCAGAGGTCTTGTCCAAGTGCTCTGGACATGACCTGATGCCACCCAGGCTCAGTGGCCACGACCTCTCACTGGATATTGCTTCAGTTTGCCATTTTACTTTCCTCTAGCAAGCCCATTAGTCACAGGGGAGGCCTAGTTGGCCCTCTTGTTTAGATGCACGGGGTGTTACTGGGTTAGTGAATGCACAGGTGGAAGAGAAGTGCTCACAGGGAGCAGCAGCCTGGCACAGGCTACCCTTACCATGTCGCTCTGTGACTGCATGGCCCCGTACATGGTGATCCCGTTGGAGGGCGCTGCTGGCTGTGGGGTGTCAGGCTGGATGTACCCTCTTCTGTCAATCAGGCTGTGGTAGAGAAGAAGGGAGAAGAGAGTGAAGGGAAAAAACCCCACCAAAGATGACTGACATGATTTAAATGTTCAGGTCTGGGCTCCCTCTTTTTGTGATGGCCCCATGTCTGATATCTTAGAATGCACCTTACTCATTTCCACATAAAACCAGTAACCAAATTCTGTCACTCCTCCTTTAAAAGTCCAGTGGCACTGGTTGCCTCCTCATCAGGCTAAAGGCTTGTCACCTGCTGCAGTCCCCCACATCTTCCTACTTGTCCCCCATTGGCTGATCTCACCTTATGATGCCACAATCTGTCCCTGGCTTTTCTCTCCAGCCTCAAGTCCCATCTTCTCTTTACACTCATTCAGCAAATGTGTTCCAAGCAACTGCCATGTGCCAATGCAGGTAACTGGGTGGAACCAGAGCCACAGCTACTCCCCCAAAGTGCTCTGCACTTTGTCTTCTCTATATTTCTATTTAAGCCTTTTTTATTTCCTGTCCAAAGTTATGTTCCCTCCCACTCCACTGTCAACTGGCTCAAAGGAGAACATTGTCCATTGAATTATGCAAAACGATATGCCAGAGTCCCAACCCTAGTATCTCTGAATATGACTTTATTTGGAAATAGGGTCTTTGCAGATGCATTTGAGTTTCTACTTGATTGGGGACAGCCTGCATCCAACAAGACTGGTGTCCTTATAAGAAAAGACAAAGATACAGGGAAGACAATGCTATGTGGAGGAACAGGGACACACTGGGAGGAGGCCACATGACAAACAGGCAGATGAGAATGATGTATCTATAAGCCAAGGAAGGTAGAGGATGCCAAGCAGCAACCAGGAGCTGGGAAGGGAAAGGAAAGAAGGGCCCTCCCCACTTCCAGAGCCTCCAGTTTCAAAGGGATCCCTTCTTCGCTACCACCATGAATGCAGACTGCCAGTCTCCAAACCTGAGGGAATACGTTTCTGTTTTGCGCTCCCTCCCCCCATTTTTGGCACTTTATTATGGTGACCTTGGAAGGTACTATAGGGCTCAGCTCAAGAGGGCACAGAGATCTGTGCAGGGCAGAGGGCTGCAGGTGAGAGGTGAGGGGCAGGCATAAAGGACCACCAGGAGCACAAGCCTGTCCTGTGTCCAGGGAGCTACAAGTGCAGGTTCACAGAGGAACCCCTGGGAGAGGGGGCTGGCCAGCCTCAAAGACCCCCAGCTTAGAGCACATTGACATGGGTCCCAGTGCTAAGTGCCAGTCCCTAAGATTGGCTTCCCCTCTCCTAGAGGAGTGGGACTAGTTGTGGGGGGCAGTGCTCAAGGGGTGGAGGGACCATGTGGCTCCCAGTGGGGTAGGATGAAGGGATGGAAAGTACTTACTATACTTCCAATGAACTTGGATTGGGAGTTATTCACTGAAATGCTGCTATTTTGGGGGAAATGAAAGTGAGTCCTCCTTCCTTCCCTGTTCAAGTGACAATAGAAATTAAGGGATTTGTGGGGGGTTTCATCTAGGAGCAGCAAAAGAACCGGGTCACCAAGACAGACTGCAGGGACAGCAGGGAAACATGGCCACACCCAACTGTGTCCAGCCTGTTTGCTGCAGCAGCCACACCTCCAGGACTGGGACTCTTGGTGCAGCACTAACGTGGCCGTGCCTCACAGGGCCGGCTGGTCCTCACCTGGAGTCACAAGCCCTCCACATAAGTCTCTGCCCTCTCATCTTCCTTCTCTACTGTCTCTGCCCCTCCTTGCTCCCTTCACTCCAGCAAATGAAACTATCTGTTCTTCCTTCATTCACCAGGGTCCTTTGCACATGCTATTCCCTCCATTTGTCAAAACACTCCTCCCCTCAATTCCTACTAATCCTTTAGGATGTAGGTCAGCCTTGGCCGCTCTCTCAGGTGTGGAACTGTCACTCCACTCCACCACTGCCTTATTGACTGTCCATGCTGCCCATGAGATGGCACTGTTCTTGGGTACCCAGCTTTGAACACAGCATGTGCCCAGGAAGCAGCAGCCAAAGGAGTTCTTATCATTGGCTTGGCGTAAAAAGGCCCACGAAGGGCCTGACACTGGCAGGTTCTTGGGACTTTCTCTTTTCTAGTTTTCTGTTCCTCCTGCTGTACTTACATGAGGACCCCCTTTCTCCAAACCTGGCCATGTCCAGTGACTGCCACCCACCCTGGTGACACTGTGCAGGTATCAGGATGTGGGTCTTTGTATCCTTGGGATTCAGGCTATCATTATGACACAGAGGCACACATTTGCTCACAAGCACATCATGTTTATAACATACTAGGGGCAGCCCTAGCACACAGTTCTGGGCATGCGAGGGACACTGCTCAGCAGGCTGGCCCGGCAGGGGTGCCCCGGGAAGATCCTGGCCTCCTTGAGGGCTCCAAGGTTGGGTGAGGTAGACAGAGGGAGGACAAGGTAAGAAGGTGACAGGAGCAAGAAGCAGAGAGGAACATCTTCCCTCTCATACCTGCCTGAGGGGAGCCTTGGGGCCCTGCCCGCTCCCTGTGAAGTGTGTTAAAATAATTCACTAGAAGGTCATGGGGCTGAGGCTGCTCCAGCACCTGGAGTCCCTACACAAGCAAATGGAAGCCCAGCTCTGTGTGACCAACCTTAACCAACCAGTTACCACTGACTAACTTGTAACCAGGGACTTTGCACTGCAGTGACCCAAATAAGGCTGCTGCTCATTTAGTCAGTTGGTTATTTCCTTTCTTTGCTTCCCCTCACCCTCCACAATCCTCCTTGTGCCCCTTCCGTGCAGCCCCAAACCACTTATGAACTGGAGCTGCCTGATTCATAAATCATTACCTACTCAAATAGACTCTAATATTTTGATATGCCTTCGTTTCCCTTTTAACAAACAATTTAAGCAGTTCCAAGGGGAGGGCCATCCTCGAGAAGTGCTCTGCTCAATGATTTTTGGAAGAATATGGCCCAAACCCAGCCCCAACAGCAAATTTCATCCAGTTGTGAAAGGAATTATTTTGATTATGCCATATTGCAAACCTAGGCCCCGAGAGCAAGAAAAAAGATTTGGACAGAGTTTGAGAGTTTTTAGTTCTTTCCCTGGACTCAGATAAGGGGACATGCTGTAATTTTCACTGTAATCCTCCTCCAGGTGCCTCCCCCCACTCCCATGGCTTCCCCTAGTACTTGAAAACACATCAGTAGGGAACAATATTAAAAGGGGAAATCAAGCACTTCCTGAGAGATTTCACAGACCAAGGAGCCCCGAGAAGGAGGCCTGGGTGAGACTGGAGCTCTCTTCATGAGGAGCTGGTAACCACCAGGGAGGCCTGACACCTGCCGAGTGGCCTCATTCTAGAGGCCTTGCCTACCTCTTCTGCCAGCTCCCCAAGACGATGCCTCTGAGGAGCAAGTCAGGGATTCCCTATAATGTCAAGTTCAGGAGAAAGGAGGCATATTGGGCTCCCAACTTTCCAGAAAACTACAAAAGGATCCCCTGCTAGTTACCCAGTGGCCATCACGATGATTCATATCAGCAGCAGCCATTTCCATAAGCAGTGGCCTTGGATATGCATGTGGGCTGGGGCTTTGTGTCACTCTGAATTCCCTAGTGAGGGTTTTCCAAGGCTGGCAATAACTTGCAGTGTGCATTCCACAAGCACACTCCAGTGAGGTCTAGGCACACAGCGAGGCTGGAGACAATCAGTTGCCTGTGAGGTTTCTCTCTATTGTACAGATTTAGAAATCAGAAGGGAAGAAGTAGCAATAGATTGGAAACTCATCCAGAAACCTGGTATGCTTGCTCAGTCAATAATTGTTGATGATCAATCTGTGGGAAATATTCTACTTAGGTATAATTCACAAATAATCAAGCATTGATTATATTTTGAACTTGCAAGGCTCTGACCTGGAGGCAGCATGCATCTGTGGACACACAAACTGGTTCATTAACTAGGTGTGTGATCTGGGGCACATGATTCAAATTCTGTGCCTCAGTTTCTCCATCCATAAAATCATAGACATTAATATCCACCTCATAAGGACAGAGTGAGTTGTTTTTTTTTTTTTTTTGTACCGGGGATCGAACTCAGGACCTTGTGCTTGCAAAGTAGGCAGCGGAACCACTGAGCTAAATCCTCGGCCAGAGTGAGATTTTAAAAATCAATATATAAAGCATTTAGAGTAGGGCTGAATACTAGTTCAATAAATGTCTGCTATTGCCATGGTTAATATCATTTTCATCCATCCTCACACTCCCAGCTACTGCAGCACTTGCTTCTACAGGTTTTCTAATTGTGTCCTACATGTGTGTTCTGGTTACCTGCCATGCTCACCTCAGCTCCCTGCTTGTCACAGATGCTCAGTGTCAATAATTAACAGTGTCATGTGCTTCAGTTTTCCTATTTTGAGATTTTAGAGTACTTTCCCCCCAGTCTGACATAAATCAAGACCAAAAAAATGTGAAGTGTGAAACACATTCACAGTGGGACTGTAATTCGTGTGTCTCACTCCAAGACAGGTGGCTCTGCTTTGAATTCCATCATCTGACATTAATAGCTGACCACTGGGCGTTGAAGCCAGTGGGAGTATGTTTAAGGCTGTGTCCACGTGGCACCAAGAGGAGAAGCTGAGCTGGTGGTCATGGGTGGATGTGACCAGCTCCAGCTGGTAGGGGCCAGGCCTCAGCTTCATGTAGCCTGTACTGACACAGCTAAAGTGCTTTTTTCAAGATCTGCTAAGAGCATAATGCTTTCTCAATCTTACCTCGGAGAAATGGGCCCACATAGGGCAACACAGCAATTTGTAAAGATATTTCCATAGCTGTAGGGATTGTAATTTTCTTTACCTCTTTTATTTGACCAAGATCCTTTAATCTGAAAGAAAAAGAGCATCAATAACACACAATATCCTTCATTCTGATGCCACAGTTTAGGCAAACCAGACCATGACAAGCTCATGAAAAATGCACATAAACTTATTTCTTCATCAGGAGAAACTGAGGTACTTTTCTAAAGGAAAATGGGGATTTTACACCAAACTTGGAAATATCCTCAAAGACTGGCTTAAATTAGGAGAGAGCAACAGTCTCTGGGCACAGTAATGTCCCCAACATGGTACTAAAAAGTCCTGTCATATAAGCCAGTGGAGACTTTTTCATACTCACATCTAGTGCCCTAAAGAGTAATTAAATGACCAGTAGCTAAAAAAGTTAATGTAACTCCCGAACTTGCTATTTAGACTATAAGAATTCAGTCTCACAGACTAGCAAAGACAGTCTGTCTTGGAGACTCTAATATTCAGTTACCAAATCAAAGTAACTGTCTTTTTTTTTTTTTTTTTTTTTGGTACCAGAGATCGAACTCGGGTCCCTGTGCTTGCACAGCAGGTGACAAAACCACTGAGCTAAATCCCCAGCCCAAAGTAACTGTCTTAATAATCTTTTATTTCATGTATTTTTATCAGCATTAATTTTTCTCAAACTTTTGTTTAAGGTAACCTTACTCATTTTGAGGCATTCAATTCATGGATACAGAATTATGGATACAGACTTTTGTTGAAATCCAGGAAATAAGGGCAATAAAGACATTTTCCAACATTATGATTCCTGTGTTTACTCTTTTTTTTTCTGCTTGCATTACTCACCTGATTACTCCAAGAAGTCAACCTGTCACAATCTCTATTAGGGAAAGTGCAACAAGTTGTTTCCAAGATTATTTAAGAGGAATAGAATCTTCTTAGGCCAGAGCTGGGAGTTACTTTGCTAATTTTACTATCTGACAAACATGGTTAGAAAAGATCAGGAGAGCCAGGCATGGTGGCATTAATGCCTGTAATGTCAACATTCTGAGAGGCTGAGGGAGGAGGATCTCAAGTTTGAGCCCAACATGGGTAATTTACTGACTTAGTGAGACCTTCTCTCAAGAAAAGTTTTTTAAAAACTGGGGCTGGAGATATAGCTCACTGGAAAGGCCCTGAGTTCAGTACCAGTACTGGGGTGCGAGAGATTAGGAGAATGTAGAGGTGTCCAAGAGAGAAACGTAGGATGACACACGATGTGCTTCCACTTCCCCTCCTTTGCTCCCATGGGCTCTTATCTGGGGTGGGATGTGTGCAGGAAGTTGGCCCCTGACCTCTTTCTTCCTTTTCTTCCTCCACTGTTAACTGGGGTAGAGCTGGGAACTTACATCTTCATTCGTTGTCTGGTTGGAGCTGATCAAGTACGTGTGGAAACCTGAGAGGCCAACAATGGACCAGACAGAGAAGAAACACACCACGGCCTCCAGCACGGTGGCAGTGAGTCAAGGAGGCAACTGGAGAGGAGAAGGATTCCTAGATCCACTAGGGGCAGGATGCTTACAGATTAGGGAACCAAACACTGACAGACTGGTTCCCAGGCTTCTCAAGTTAGGTAGCCTTGTCTTATTTTCTGCTGTTCCATCACAGCAGTTTTCTTTCTAACCAGAGGGAGACCTTCAGGGCATGGACTATGTCATATTCCCCTGTCATCCCCCACACAGAGAAGCATATGTGGCTCTGTAAATGACTGGTGGGTTCCCTGGTATCACTTGCTTTTTAATGGTAGGCAGTGCCCCAACTGTTTTCCCTGCTTGAGCTTCACATCTCATGACTTACAGGGGAGTCAGGGACTGAGGCCCCCAAATCAGGAAGCTCCCTGCTTTGAGCTGGCAGCAGGTCAGGGTTGAATGAAAGGTCTACATAGAGGCCAATGACAGTAGTGCCAAAGGTGACTCTGCCCAGTAGGAAGGCTTCTGAGGTCCAGTTTTCTGTCTCAGTGGACCATCTATTCTTGGCTCAAAAAGTAAAAGAAGAAGAAGGTTGAGGCCTCTGTGTGGGATCAGGGTGGAGATACTGCTGCTTAGGGGACCTCTTCCCAGCCCCTCAGCCAATCCCTGATATACAAGGCTGCTGGGAAATATGACCTCCTCTTGAGGACAGCCAGGGAGAGAGGTCAGGAGTCCCACATGGTGTGCTACCATCAACAGAGAAACAGCTGGGCAATCCTTGAGAGATGAGACCAGTTCCCAAAAAGTGTGGCAATTGAGAAAGCTTTCCTATCCCACAAATGTTTATAAGATTCTATTTACAAGATACAGATGTTTCTCAGGAAAAACCCCATTCTTCATGGGGTGGGGGTTAAATACACATCTTGCATTCCCCCATCAGTGAATTACAGGCTGGGGAAAGCCAAGCCTTGTGCTTTCCTCTGGCTGCCAAGGATGGCAGCCATACTGATCATGCTATGATACGTCACCATTGATTTTTCCAGGTTGGAGATAATTCACCTTTAGAGCACAGAACTGAATACATTACCCAGTGCAGTGTTATAATGTGCCACAGTATGACTGACAAAGGCTATTCTCTGGTGCATAGAATGGGAGGAAAGATTGTGTTCCTATTTGTGGGCTGTCAGTATCATAGTAAGCCACAGGGGCTGCTCTTGGAGAAGCAGGTGGTTGGGAGGACTGAGAGAGGCAAGAGAGATGCAGAGAAGTAGTCCTGACCTGGGGCTGCCGTGGGGCTGGGCAGGACTCTGCTTCTTCCAGGGTTAGCCCGGTAGGCAAATGGCTATGCTGGGAGCCCTGTGTATACATGAAGACACATGGATGATGACCCATGTAGCACAGATGGTCTTCTCAATGGCCTCCCCACAGGTCAGAGTTCACAGATGCCCCTGCCTTACAAAAGGGGACAGCCTGGGGAAGTAGTCCAGGTGGGATTCATATCCTGCACTGCCTGGAAAAAAGAGGTGGAGTCCAAGGAAGAAGACGAGGTAACCTGAGGGGAGACTGAGTCAGGGAAACTGGACTGTGCAAGAGGCAATGATGCTAGTAATGAGTTTGCATGAACTGGAAGGAAAAGACAAGAGAAAGATCAAAGGAGAGAGAACAAGAAACTGTCAAGAGAAAGAAGAACAGAACCAAAATATGCATTTACTGAATAACTCATGAGAGCCAAACTTCAATCTCAGAAATATGTACAGGTCACCAAACATTTTCAGTGCAGGTAGAATGATGATGATGTTGATGACAAAGTCAAAATAGAGATAACAGTCATTTATGTGAATTGTATAAAAACTGGCATATAAAAGTGGAGGAGAATCACAGCAGGTTGAGGGTCTCCTGCCCACGATTTGGCTGCTGCTCCTTTTACAATTCTTCTTCCAATTACTGCCTGCATCAGGAGGCCATGTGACCAGTGGATGGGGGAGTTTTAAAGGTTTATAGCAACAGTCAAAATTGCAGCTCACTATATTCATATCATGTCTGCTGCAGAAATGTTTCACCAATAGCAGGATGCAATGCCACTGTGAGCTCATAGCTGTGGCAAAACAAGGGAAGATACAAGATAAAGCCCTGTCCCTAGCTACAGTCCCTTGAATCATCATCATCATTTGTAACAGTGGCTGCCATCTCTGATGATGTCATCAGGCACTGTTCCAAAACACCACACAGAATAACTCAAGCCTCAGAGTAACCCGGGGTGTATGTGGGGCAGGTGTGCCATTCCCAGCCAACAGGTTGGGAAACAGAGGCAGAAAGCAGTGAAGTAAGCTGGAGATGAAATAGCAGAGCAGGACTTCTGGGAAGATGGCAGAATGTAAGCAGCAGGGAAAGAACTTCTCCAAGATTTGGTGTCTTTACACTGGAATGTAGCAGCTGAAGGAGGAGAAGAAAGAGGGAAGTGGATCTCTGGGACCCAGGAAGGATCTGAGATGAGAATTGAAATCTATAGGGAGAGTGAAGAGAGAGACTTTAAAGAAGGGGAGGGAGGTACCAAGCAGCACTCTCTCCCAGAGCCTGGACTCTCCAAGAGGGAATGGCAGGCCAAAACTGCAGACAGATCATGACTACTGACAACCCCAGAGGCCTCCAAGGAGAAATGCACCAGTGGAATGGAGCAGTGGATGAACCGGACTGCAGCAGCTGGTGAGTTATCTGGATTCAGACCTCACCCAGGAGAGGGTAATTAGTGGTAACTATCTTGGAGAGGGGCCAACTGAGTTTGGAATTCAGAACAGCTGTGGGCAGACTCCATTTAGTAGCTTCCAGGGCCTCCCTGTGGGTGCTGAGTTCAAGTCAGCAGAAGGTCAGGGAGTGGAGTTCAAGCTGGCAGGAGACACATGGACTGTTATAGGCTCAAAGAATCCAGTTCCAGCCTCATAGCCAGAAACTTGCTTAAACTTCAGAGGAACTAAAGGGGCAGGGTGGCTGGGATTATCCACTACCCCACAGTGAAGCTGTGGCTAGCTTGTTAGGATTAATGAATTTGGCTCTGGACTCTGTTTGTCCACATTGCCTCTTTTTTTTCTTTTTTTTCTGTCTGTTTTTTCTCCTTTCTAGTTCTTATTTTATTTTGTTTAGTTTTTTTTCTTGACTGTTTGAACACAATTTCTAGTTTTTTTGTTGTGTTCTGTTCTTGTTTTTATTTTTTCCTTTTCTCTTCCCCACCTGTCTTCTTCACCAGTTTCCTAAAATTTGTCATCCAGCCTTGCTTCTAACCTCTCCCTCTTCTTCTATTTCTGTTTTTTTTTTACCCCCACCTCCTTTTAAATCTTCTCCCCTATGGGTAAAAAAGCCATATTAAGGGCTACAATTTGTCATTTTCTAGGCTGTATTTGATGCTATTGTTATTGTTGATTGTACTACTTTAGCCAAGGTGACATAATTGTGCTAATCAGCTGTTCCTCCTGGCATACCAAGACAGAGATTGCCTAAGGGTCTGAAAAAAAAACTATAGGCCGGTGCCAAAGAACTGGCAGCTGGGCCAAGTCGGCAAAAACTTCTCAGCCACAATAAATTGAAGAGGTAGGATCCTGTAACAGACTCAAAATCCAAAAACTAGTTATACCTGGAAGACACTTCTGAGAAGTACTCATTTTCTAATGGCTCTGAATACTGGCAATAAAGCTACTTGCCATAAGCAATTTACAATCATCAACTCAGGAATCAAACTTGAAAAAATAGAAAATGAGAAGACACTTAAACAAGATGCAACCCCCACAGCTGTCAGTTCACTAAAGGCAAACCCTGGGTGGGCAATGAAGTGGAATAATCCGAAAGCCACCCACCTGGACTGGTAACAAAAGTAACAAAGAAGATAAAGAAGGCTCTAGAAAAAAAATCAAAGCAAAAATAATTTCCCAGATAGCTACGAGATGGTGACCAGAATTAAAGATACAGATAAAAAAAATAGAGGAGCTCAGGAATGTGATGGAAGCTATGAATGCTTAGGATAGGAAAGAAATGGAATCCATGAAACAGATTCAAGCAGATATCCAGGAGATTAAAAACTCCACTGAAAGTATACGCAGCAGAATGGGCCAACACAAGGACAGAATATCAGACACAGAAGACAGGATTGTGGTTAGTGATCAGGAAAAGAGAGATTTCTTAACAATAATGAGGGATCATAAGAAATCCATCCACCAGCTGCTAGACGATGCAAAGAAGAATAACATAAGATTGACTGGAGTCAATGGAAAAGCAGGAGATAATGCAAATGACATAAAAAACATGTTCTCAGCAGTAATGGCAGAAAATTTCCCAAACCGAAATAGAATTTGACATACAGATAATTGAGGCATATAGGACTCCAATTAGCCATGATCAAAAAAAGTCTTCCCCAAGGCATATAATAGTCAAGATTCCAGAAATTCAACACAATGACAGAATATTAAAAGCTGTCAAAGAAAAGAAACAAATCACCTATAAAGGAAAGCCCATCAGAAAGAATCACAGCAGACTTCTCAACACAAACTCTCAAGTCAAGGAGAGCTTGGAGTGAAGTATTTCAAGCCCTAAAGGAAAACAACCTCCAACCCAGATTGATGTACCCTGCAAAACTATCTTCAAAATTGATGGAGAAATAAGATACTTCCATGACAAAGAACACCTGAAGATATTCATGACCACCAAACCCACACTCCAAAGGGTTCTGAAGGGTATTCTAGAAAGAAAAAATAAAGATTACAACTCCATGCACCCCAACAGAATGAGTCCACCAGGCAAGGCAAGAAATTAAACAGAAAAGGAAAGAAGGAAGCCAACAGCAGGAAAATAACATGACAGAGATAAGACAATACACATCAGTTATAACCACCAATGTTAATGATCTCAATTCACCAAACAAAAGAAACAGATGAGCAGAATGGATTAAGAAGCAAGATCCAACAATATGCTGCATACAAGAAACACATTTAATTGAAAAACAAATTCACAGGCTGAAAGTCAAGGGATGGAAAACAATATTCTATGTGACAGGAAACT